AAAATATCTTTTATCTTGAATGTAAAGAATAGTAGAAAGTTGGAGATATGCGAAATTCTTGAAATTGTGGAGGTCGACAAACACAAAAAATACTTGGGTATACACACCCTTGTTGGTAAGTATAAAATGACGATTTTGTTGAAATGGAGGAAAGAGTTAGAAAATTTTGAAAGATTGGAAAGGATAAACACTCTCTGATGTCGGTAAAGAGATCATGATCAATTCATAGCTCAATCGCAACTTATCCATCCTATGATGGTTTTTAAGATACCTGATGGGATCATGGTGGAAATTCAAAATTATATCATGTGGTTCCGGTGGGGTAAGGGGGAAGAAATCAAAGCCCCATGGATTAAATGAGACATAATGTGTGATAACAATGGTAAAAATGAAGGAGGAATGAGCTTCAATGATCTTCATACTGTTAACTTGGCAATGTTGGGCATGAAAAATTATAACTTCTTATCTTGACCCTCTTATATTATGACAAGAACCCTCAAGGCAAAGTATTTTCATAACACTGACATCCTTCAAACCAAAGTGGGGTCCAACACAAACTATGTTTGGAGGAGTCTTATGGCTGCAAAAGCTGCATTGGCTTATGGTTTATGCTAGAGAGTTGGCGATGACACTAAAAATGCATTTGGAGTGACTTCTGGCCGTGGGGACAAGATTATTTTGTCATTGTCCCCCGCCTACAAATATGGTTCCTGAAGCTAAGGTTGATTTTATCATTGAGAAAGATTTATTATTCCAAGTCCTCTTTGTATTATATTTTCCTACTGTCAATTTTGTTTCCCTGCAATTACAAAGCAACTTTTTGCCCTCGTAATGCAGCACATCAAGGTTGTATCGCTGGACAATCACGTAATCATACAATGTAGAATTTGATTTACACGTGACACCGTAAGAATTTATATATAATTTCATAATATTGCATCACTCTCCTAAACATATGTTATATTATGACTAAATTGACACAAAGTTATCTCAATTGGTACTGCCATGACTTGACCAAAGTGTTCCCCCCTAATTTGATGAGATTTACATAGTAATTATTGTTTAAAGAGATGTCAACCGATAGTTATTGAGTGAGTAATTATTAATTTAGTTAGAAAAATGTATGTATATTTTTATTATTAATACATTGTACTATGTTAATTTAAGTAAGTCTTAATATAAAAGGATAATAAGGTAAATTAGTTTCTTAAGTTATAAATCTAAAACCCTTAGATCCAATACCAAAACACCTCAACAAACAAAAGATTTATTCAAATCCCATATGCCACAAATCCCTAATAAATCTTTAGGTTTTTAAATCCAACAATATAGACAAAAGCCTAATTTTAAAATCCATGAAGCAAACGACCCCATAATAGTCATCTCGAATATCCCTCTTCAAAATCTCTTACAGGAGGACGAAATGGTCTGAATTCATGTTGATAATGGGATTTGCTCTTATAAAACTGCCCACTAGATAATATGGAATATCCTAGATGAAGTGATTGACAAAAGGATAATAACAATCCTCCTAATAGCGATTTCTGGATGCAGCTATGGTCACTCCGTACCAGCCTAAGGTATAGTTTCTATTATGGAAACTATGTTGAGGAATCTTACATGTTGGTGTTAATCTGAAAAGCCACTAAGAGAAAACTAGCCCAAATTGTCTGTTTCCCGTAACTTGTCGGAGATAGAGATGCATTGCCTGAGGGAGTGCGAGTGGACTAGGAGATTATGGCACCCTAGCATGGATGGTGATCTCTTTGAGCCAAGAGAGGATCATATCTTAGAATCGTGCCCTACAGAGAAACCCCACATTTTAGTGCCATCGTTGGTTCATATGGAAGGAGAGATGCAATCATTTGCTTACAACGAGAAAATGGAGTAACATGAGATCATCCCAAAAGCTCTAACTTGGTTGCAGACTATGTTAAAGCTTAGACTCTGTCATTGCATGTCCCAAATCCAATGCTCCGAGTTGGGAGTCACCTTCAGCCGATGTGTTCAATATCAAATCTTATGCCAGTATTCTCAAGCCAAAGGGATTGGTTGGAATGTGTTATTCGTGACTAGAAAGGACTTTCGCGTAGCAGTGGTGAGAAATGAAAAAGGGATTTTGCAGAGTAATTGAGGCGGAGGCCAGAGCCATTTTCATGTGATTATGCAATGCGATAGATTATCCATGAGCTCCATCAATGTTGATTCGAATTGTCAAGGTTTAATTCTGAAATTGCAGAAGGAGGAGGATAAACTAGAACTGGGTGTTTTTTTGTAGGCTTATCAATTAGATGGAGGAAGTTAATTTCCCTTTTTTGGCACTTGGCTTCATTGAAATTTTATCCCGAGAAAAGGAAATTATGTAGCCCTTTCCCCCCTATCATTCTGTGTTGTGGGACCATTGTTATGTGTGGGCTAACTACCGTCACTCTCTTTGTATCCAATTTTGGAGGATGATAAAGTCCAGTCTGTCTTTGATGATTAATTAAATGAAATCTACCAAGCTTCCATTAAGAAAATATGATTTATTAGATGCACAAGAATAAATTTAAGTAATTTTAATTTGAGGATTTTGAGAGACACAAGTTACAGAAGGATTAGCATTTCAAATTCTCGGAAGGTTGATTTAGAAATTAAGGGGTTGTTTGCTTATGAAATTCTCACAAATGAAGGATTTGAGTAAATTTTGGGATTTTTGGATTATGTTCAGTTTTGTTATTTTGGATTTGTGTTGAATTTTAGAAATTGTTTGTTTGCTTGTTGGATATGAGAAAGTGTATAGGATTTTTTTTTTTTGTCAATAGCTCACTTGTATTACCAAGGAAAGAAAGATACCATGGTTTACAACTCAAATAAAGATCATTTTCAAAAATCAAAACTATCTACATTCACAAGTAACAAAGAAAGTGACTTTCTAGCCACAACATGGGCCACCCGGTTATTAAGCTTGCCAACTAAAGAAATGCCGAAGGTATGATACTGCTGACAAAGACTTGCAATTTCCACCCGAATCCTTCCACCCCACTATCCTACCAATCCAATCCTTGAATTTTGTCGATAACGCCCGTGTATCTCCATGAAAAGCTACTTCAATTAGACCCTTCAGAGGCACCACTGAATTGCGTCCCTAAACGTCACCAACTCAATACAGAAAGGATCCTGCAGCCCTACATAATAAAATCCCTTGACATATACAATGTTTCTCATTACATCCTTCACCACTAATCCCCCTGCACCATAAGAGCCTCCTACCACTGCCCCATCTACATAGCAATGTAGTCGTGGACAGATTTCAAAGAAGTCACTCGTTGTTTCTCACCGTCTAATTTAACTTAAAAGTAATGGACGACGACGAGGTTGGTTAGTATGGTGGTAATACTATCTCTAACAAGTCCCAATTATTTTACGATAAGTTCAAAATTAATGATCATTTTGAAGAAAAAAGTTGAAACTCTTTGATCTTTTTCGATACAACGGCCAAAATTGAGTAGCTATTTAGGATAATTATCAAGGAAATCCATAAATTCTTAAGATGGCCAAATTTCCTTTCAGAAGGAGGTGTGAATTGCCTCTGACTTCGGTCGATTGGCATAGGTGGCGTCTAATTTCTATTTTTGCTGTAATTCTTGTAACCTCCTATCGATTTACAATTTTATAAGCTAGAAGAGTAAAATTTGACAGAATTTTGAATACCGATCGACTAGAACGATCGATTTGTCGCAAGTTTTTCGAAATTACATCACAGATTTGGAAAAACAAAAGGGGGTCGTTTGGATGAGGGTTTTTAATACGAGAGATTTGTGAGAGATTTAACTTCAAATCACTCGTTTAAAATACCAGGAATTTTATTGGCAGGAATTATCCAAATTAACTCGTTTGGAAGCTAATGAGGGTTTTCACGCTAGAAAGGAAAAAGACAGTTTTACCCCATTTGTTTATGGTGATCTTCGTTATCGGCAAGAACAACAATGTGAAACCCAAAAATCCTACACCAGTGATTTCTTAGGAAGCACATATACCTTCGCAGTAGCTTGATTTTTTGTCCCTGCAAGACCACTGCTTCCCTTCCATTTTTGTTTTTCTCCCCACCAACTATCCCTCCCCTTCAGAAACATCAATTAGCAACCCTACGCCAAGCATAATCGCAGCCGCTCCTAGCATCATCGTCCACCGCTGCCACGCCCGCAACGCAAACCTCGGCCACCGCCTGCTCGACCACCGCCTCGTCCTCCTCTAAACCTGCCACCGTCTCGGGGTTTCATGGTTCTTCTTCTTCGCTGCCGCTGTTACAGGGAGGATCGCCGAGCTTAACCAGGAGACAGTGGGAAGAAATTGAAGAACGCCGCTGTTATTGGGGCAACGTTCAAATCCCAGGCGGCGGTGGGAAGAAATTGACGACGAGTGACCAGGTTTGGCGTCGATGTTCAAATTCCATGTGATGGTGGGAAGGAATCGAAGACGAGAGACCAGTTTGGGCGGCGCTCAAATTTTCAGGCGGCGGTGGGACGGAATCGCCGACGGGGACCAGGTTTGGGTGGGAAGAATATCTCGACGTGATGGGAAGAATTGGGTGAGGACTAGTACCACAACTTTTGGGCAACGGACGACATTGGGTAGTGTTGGTGTTGAATGGGTCGACGACGAACTGCAGATAGAAGAAAGAAAGGGTAACAGTTGGAAAATAAAATATAAAAATGAGAGATTTCGAAATAGCTGGTGGCCATCAGCTATTTCAAAAACCCACGTTTAAGGGTTTCTCAAATCTCTAATTATTAAAATCTCTCATTGTTTATGTTTTTGCCAAACAAGTGATTTTATTAAAATTCCTAATTGTGAGAGATTGTTTTAAAATCCCTCATAGGAAACCCTTATCCAAACGGGGCCAAGAAATCTTGCCATTTTTGTCATAGTAACCAAAGTTATGTGACCAGTTTGGATAATTACCCTTAATTACTACAGATCATAGAAGTCCGGATTCGGGAAGTTTTCCCGGTTGAACGGTCCGATCAGACTTTACACCCGCAGAATCAGCCGCCGTAACTAGTCCCCCGACAAGCCTCTGTTTCCCACCGGGACCAAAGACCATCTCGGATTTCCTCTTCTCAAAAGTCTGAAACTCTGTCCTCTTTAGAATTACCAATTCCGCGCTCGATTTCTGGTTCTTCGTTTCACTTCCGCGCAGCTCGAAGTCTTCCCATCTTTATTCGCTTAACTTTGCTGCCGAAACCGCCGCACCCCACAGATCGCGAAGAGGCCGGACGGCTGCCCGGTTTGTTCGCCGGAGTAGGCAGCAGACGAAGAACAGCCGACGCATGTCTCGCGGCAAGAGCAGGTGAGGATTTTCTCGTTGCTCCATTAGGGTTTGGCAGTAAATAGAGTAGCAATTTCATCTGGCTGAGCTGTGTTAATGACAATTTAGGGCCCCTAGTGTGGCTATAATTATGATAGGTTATCGAGATTCTGCCATTTGCTTTTGCTGTGAGTGTGAAAATTTTGGTTGAAAGAGTGTTGGAAACCTTCATTTTGCTAGCTTCACTGGCAGTCAACTTTCAAATGAAGAGAATTCGTGATTGAAGTGAGTTGATGTTGATTCCTTATTTGTCATCTGAGATCTCGTCCTAACGATTGTCGACTGGTGCAGTGAATTGCTGAGCAAGGCATTGTTTACGTGCTTCGGTCTGTAAAGTGGCTGGGGGAAATCAAGAGGCTGCAGCATTTCCACAGTGGCATTATGTGGACAAACGTTTTTCGAATCGTACGTTGACTTTACTTCCAAATATGTCTCTGAGAACTGTTGCTCAACTCCTACTGCATTGAATCTGACCTTGTTTAATGATTTGGTTTCTGTTCCTCTCTTACTTGTCATTATTAGATAGTTGTGATCATGGCCGGTTCAGGCTAGTAATCCACTTTAGGCAACTGAATTGGATAATGTTTAGAGAATCATGAGAATGATGAGGACACAAGGTTGTGAATTTTTTTTGTTTTGCTTCAGAGACTGGAGTCCTCTACATTACGAGGCTTCGTTTCTGTTTATGTTCAGCCCATTAAACTTTGAAGCTCGGAGGGTTCTTAATTTAAACTCTGAAGGTCAATAGAAACCAACATTATGAATAGAAAATAGGATTAGCTGTTGGGACATTGTAACAAAAATTGCCTTGTCCAGGTTGCCGCCTTGTGACTTGATTTATTGAATCCACCTTTCTGCTGAATTATGATATTAGATTGGCCACCATCGCTGCTGTTGTTGGTTTTCTTAGTATTTGCTTGTTGGTTCTGCTTAAAAGTAGTTTCGTCGGTCAAGTATGTTACTTTTTCTGCACTAAATGTTTGACTAATTTTTCAGGGAGGTCTTCAAAATGTATCATGGTTCCAGTTTCTTCCCAATGAAGCTGAGTTGAACTCCGTAGCTGATAAGAGGTTAGAATGGTTACATTCTGGCGATTTCCCTTCTGCCTATAAAGGAAGAGCGATGCCGTTGCATGTAATATCCTTACAGTTTGAATAATATAGATTCATATTTCTGTATATAACTGGTGTATTGGACAGTGTAAAAATGGATCAAAAAGATGCTGCTACACGGCTGGTGCTTTCATCCCATTTGCAGCTGCAGAAGGAGGGATTTCTCAGTACATGGACTAATTCTTTTGTTGGACCTTGGGATCCATCTCAAGGTTTACATAATCCTGGTAAGAAAAACTGGTAGCTATGTACTTGCTATGTCATAATTTATCGATTCAGAACTGTCTGACCGATATTTGTCAACGTTTGTTAATAGATGAGAAAATCAAGCTTTGGCTTTTTCTTCCTGGGCGCCATTCTTCTGTTGCCGAGAGAGCTCAGTCAGCAGTTTTTAAACTAAGAGGTAACTTTATGTAATTTTCCTTCAAAGTATGCGATTTGATCTTTCTCTTTGAAGAGGTAAATATGTCCATCCTTATTGACAAAACTATCGATGTTTAAGACTCATGGAAACTAAAGAATGTTTATCAAAGTTCAAAACATCTTCTAGTAGATCGAACAATGGTTGGTCCAAACTTTGTCTTTGGGAGAGAATATTGCAGTCTCGAGTGCTTACACTCGGTAGTGTTTCCATCAAAAGATTCTCATACCTACATCTTTTACAGCATCATCTTGACTTAAAAGTTTGTATATGTAGACTTTTCTTACAATGCATGGCTTTTTGCACTTAAACTCAAATGTACTTATACAGCCCTATGGTCCTCTTTTATGACACCATTGCTGGATAATAAGTTTGTATCCTGTATATCATCTTTCTTTTTTCTTTCTTGAAGTTGTTGCATCTGGAATCTGGGTAGCCCCTGGGGATTCTGAAGAGGTTGCTGCTGCTCTTTCTCAATCTTTAAGGAATAGCATAGAAAAGTAAGCCTTCTGCCCTTCAGAATTTTGGAAAGCTCGAACTAGAGATGTAACGAGTTTCTTAATAGCTTCTGGGTGGATTTTTCAGGGCACTTTTTGGACTTTCTTACGTGCGATTTGGAGATGTGTTTTCAAAGCATCGTCCAGGCCAAACTGAAGCACTGTACAGGTAAGGAAAAGGCCCTTTAAATGTTGGTCAATCTTACTGAATATGTTCAGTTTAATACTAAAAGTCTTTTAGTTGCATGAGTGATACTCTTCTCTGAATCTAGTGACCGCATAGTGTCAGTGCTTTCCTGCTGGTATTTGCTTCGTATGATTAACTGAACTGAAAACCAAATGAAGTTTTCCAAGGTTAATAGTTGGTGGGGTATGAATGAGTCACATGACATCCGTATCAAACAAATTTGCTTCCACAGTAACTGGTTTCTTTTGGAACTCTTACGACTTGGGAAATATCCTGAACACATTTCTGACAGAAGGACAAAGTAATAATGGGATTTGGGTTTTTCTTCTAGTATGTAAGTGCAACAATGGGTAACGTGCTTTGGATGATGTCCTCCAAAATTATCTTAGATCGAACTCTGTTGATGCAACAACCGCTTTGAAGCTCATCTGGTCAGAAACTGGGCTTGAGTTAATCGTGAGTGACAAGTACGCCTTTGATTCAGCTCCTACCTGCTTAGAACTTCCTTTATTAGTCAAGGGACATATAATTCACGATGTCAATATTTCATATTTTAGTAGAAAATTTAAAGGACGTTATTTCCTGCATGTGAATCAAATATCTGTCGGTTGTGTCCAACCAAAACTGGTCCCATCTGAGTTCATTATGAAGTTTTTGCGTTACCAGGGTCACATCCAGAAGCTCTAGCTAACGGGATCAACGATCCATTAGCTGAAGTGAGGTCCGTTCAGTACCATGCGCAATGAATGTGAAATGGGGTTTTTGACATGCAGTGCTCTCGATCCTGATTTTGGCATCTGCACCATGTCTGCATCAGTTGAGAGAAGTATCGGCTGATGTAAATGACTTCATTGCTTTAGATTGCATGGTGTAGTGCGAATCATATTAGATGTGATTGAGTTGCATCATTCTGCAATTCCATTTGCTTTTTAGAAACATTTAACTAAGATGCTGAAAGAGTGGAAGAAAATTTTTGGTACCACATTCCAAAAGTGTCCAGGGGCATTATCGGACTAGCACTGTTAATCTATAAGTGATCAATTCCTAGTTTTATGGTTGCTTTTGCAAATGGAATATACTTTTCTTTTTCTGTTTAGTGATAACTGCAGTGCGTCTGCTTGTGGCAACAATAACTGTTCCCACTGGACCTCCCTTCTCCATCATTTAGTTTACATCTGCGAGTAATGACTGTTGTTCATTTCCGGCTTTTATTTCCGGTTTACTTATTTATACAATTTAAAATTTCTCCTGGAGCTGATATATTTCTTTTGCTGCTTCTTCAGGAGAGGACAACCTACTGTCGAATTCATCTTTGCGGCCACCGATGAAGCAATTTTTGTTCATGCTATAATAACTGCCAAGTTGGTGAAATTCACATCATGTTTCTTCTACTTGTCCTTTCTTACTTGCTGCTTTTGCTTTGCAGTTTGGATTCAGCACCATTTTTTTTTCATTTTGTTGTATATTTTAGGCACATTCGCATGCTTTCAGCAAGTGACATTGATAGGGTCTTGAAGCACTCATCTAAAGATTCTGGCAATAAACTTCCAGGTCGGTACATCTCTGATTAATGGGGGTCTCCAATTCCATGCTAGCATGCATACTTCAGTCTGCACAGGTGTTGCCAGAATCGTGTGTCGGTGGAAGCAAGTCTTAATTATGAGGCGTGTGTTAGAAATCTGATTCTCTTTCTCGGCCATGTTTGGTTGAGAGAAAATAATTTATAAACGTTTTATTGCTTACCTTTCCATTCTTTTCGGGTCCACAATAAGAGGATCAGTATATTGCATGCTGATCTCTTTTAGTGAAGCAATAATATATTTCTAAGGAAGATTTTTTCTTTCCTCTCATTAGCATTAGCATTAGCATTAGCATTAGCATATCATTGTGCTTAGATTATCTTTGTTTGAAATGAAGTTTAGTAGCTTGCTTTGTTCAAAAATGAAATTTGGTAAACATTATCTAGAGGCAGTATGCTATAGCAGGGTCTGATCTTGAGATCAACTAGATGCTTGTGGATGTTTAAAGTTACCGAACTATAGAAATACCAATTATAATACCCTCCAATTCAGTTATTCGGTATCGTTACCTTCTCTAAGACATGGACTGGTATTGTATAACCAGCTTCATTCACTCCCACCTCCTGTTCAACCTGGTTGCTGGTTTTGTTGGTAGATTGAGGCAGTTAGTTTTTGGCAGTGTTACTTCCTATTGAATTATCTGCTTGCTTGATGTGTTACTGTTTCAACCCTAGGAGTCCAGCACCATTCTTTCCTTGGCCCAAACTAAATTTGTAGTTTGTTTGTTGCTGTCCTTTTTGTTTCATACATTGTTTGTTTCTTGCAGTTATCGTTTCTCCTCATGGAATGCGTGGCTGGGTAACAGGATGTTGCCCAAATGATCTCGTCAAGCAAGTTTATGCAAGGTAGCTTATACGTACTGCATACTGTATCTTTGTGTTCTTTGGATGGACTTATGTGCATTTTGCACCATTAGTTATTGTTTGATTAGCAGTGACCTATTTGCTTGTATTGCGCTCTCTCTTAATAGTTCTGGCAACTCTAGGATGCTGGATGGTATAATTGGTTCATTGAAGGATGTTTCACAAGGGCCTGCATTCCAGTTGAGGGGGCAGCATTCGTGCGTGGAAGTTACACTTGGTTGCCCAAGATCTGAGAGTGGTAAGGCATTGCAAACAAAGTTGGGTGCAGGTAGCAGTCTACAGAAGCATCATGTCATGGAATCTCCGGCCACAGCACGAGGTGATCACAGTGGTTTGCAAGACTACCTCTCAGCAAACGAGAAGATATTCATCTATCCGGTCGACGCTGTTGCTGTCCCTCTCTTACACACCTCATTTGCTCGGTCTTCTCTCAGAAGGTATATTGTCTAGATCTTTGTCTCTGTTTCATTATTTGGATTGGTTTGGATGGCATAGTGGTAATAAGTAGCTATATTTTCTTCTAAAGTAAGCTATGAATTTTACTTTTAATATTTAGCAAGGCTTTCCTAGTTTTAGGAGTTCTTCTTTTGTAGTTCATCAACAACTATCAACTAAAGAAGAAAATGGGAGAAACAGAATTCATCTTAATTGTACTCATGTCCACATGAATACACTCGTGTCGTCTGCTAAGCTTGATTATCTTGAACTTATGTGGTTTTCAACTTACAAAGCCATAGGCTCCGTCTGATTCAACAAGTGGGACACCTATTGCAGAAATTGTAAATATGAGCAAATAGTAGAAGGGAAAGTATAAAGTAAGGCGGAGTCAATTTCAATTTAAAATTTAAAGGTATATATTGGAGGTTGGTTATTATACCAAGTGAAGGTACCAACTGGGGAATTGAATCAAGCTGAGCTGTAGTCTTGGTAATGATAACTTTGCTCTCAGGGTGTAATCACTGTTGTATGATGGTGGGCAGGTTCTTGTTACAGTTCATTTCAGAGCAGAGTAAGGGAGCTTTTTCTATAGATGCAGTTTTTAGTGGCCAGTAATTAAGTTTCTGGAGCCTTAGGGTAGGATTTTGTTGTTTGATTTTGTATTTTGTTTTTAGAAGGGTTAACCTAATCATGATTCACAACCATTTATTGCAGATTTTGGTTACAAAACTGGACAGGGCCATCAATGTCCGGTGCAGCTTTCTTTATGCATAGGTTAGTTCATGCTTTCTTCGTACTCATTTTTCTAATAAAGAGAATCACCAGTCATATTGTACTGTGTTGCTATGTAACTTTAAAGAACTACAGTTGGTTGATTAAAACATGGCCTGTTTTCTATTTTACATATATGTAATGATTGTATACTATCTAAGTCTGCCTGAAGAGAACAGATGTTTATTTGTAGCAATTTGTACCAAGATGATGCACAAATTGTCGCTGCTAATATTATTTGTCAATAGTAAAAGCAAACAGCTGGAGGAAATTAAGTTGCATAAGAATGTTGACTATTAACAGTGATTGAACATTGCCTTGACCTTATTTGTGCAGCCAAGTGTAGAATAGTCCTTTGGGTGAGTGTAAGCCTTATAGGCAAGGTGTTCGTTCTGGTTTTATCCAGCCTTGGGATTCTTTGCCTTTTGAATTTGGAGAAAGTGACCAAATTTATGGTATAGGATATATCAGGAACGAAGAAGAATACTTAGGAACCTTTTGTTCTTCTATAACTATGGCACAACAGTTTGCTGTTGGAAGAGCTAATCTTTATGGCAATGCGTAAACCCTCAAACTTGAAGTTGGATGTAGAAGTTGATGAATGCTGTCCCAACAAGGCAGAACCTTTGGTAGAAGAACATCTATTATGTCTTTTTTCGTGGCAGCTCAACAAACTATTGTGCAAAAGCATACATGGCCTAGTCGATGATCCACCGTAGGCTTTGTCTCTTTTGTATATTCGATGGCTACTGTCCATCCAACTCTTTGTTTTGATGTTTTCGATTTATCTTTATGATGGCCTTTTGCTCTTGCATTCTTCACAAAATTGCGGTATGAGGGATGACAGTATATTTCTGAAAGAAATATACACATGTTGGAAATGATTGGCTTCCTCCTCTACACAAGCACAAAGATGTTCCTGCATCTATTTACCATGATAGACTTCTTTTCTTGTCTCTAAGCATGTTAGGAATATCATTTTTAACTACAAAGCAACTTTTTCTCATGTTACTGTTATTTTTCTGAGAATGAGACTTGAATTCTCTTTCTTACTTTTGCTACCAGTGGGGGTAATATAGACAGCGCAGACAGTTGTTGGCTCGACTCTGGTGGAACACTTACACATCATGGCTACAATAGTAGTAGCAACAGTAACAATAGCAGCATCAGCTCACTTAGCAGCAGTTCCAGTGATAGTGATTATAATATGGCCGCAGAAGGTGGGGATCTCGATGCAGATGCAGATTCTTTGTCATGCAGGCGATCCGGTTTGTCTTCTAATGATCAGCTGGAGAATGACCGGCAGAAACTGGTAAAGCTATGTTGTACGAAATGTCCTCTGCTGTAATGCATTCTGTTGCTACCTCATTCCTGGGAACTTGTAAAAGACCTATGGTTTATCTGCTTACGGAATTGAGGAATTAAAAGTGCATAGAATAGACTTCCATCTACATGCTATCTCAACTAAGTTCAACTACTAAATTAGTGAAGTGTCTGACAAAAAGAACAGAAGTTTTGACTTAGGCTGCTGAGAATGCATTAAATATACCTGCCTCTATCTGGATAAGATGGCTAAAGCAAAGGGGCACTTTTTTCCACCAACTCAACTGGTTTCTAATGATCTGGTTAATTTTGTGCATTTATTTATTTATGAACATTTAGTTCTATTGTTTAATTGCTTCTAGACACAACTGATTACTTCCCCTCCCGCTGAAGTCATTCTTATGTTCGCCTAGATAACTTTAATGTAGGTATGAGGTTTGTTTTGCTTTCATGAGAGGTTCTAATTGTGTTCTGATTTCTACCAGAGTTCTGTGTTAGCTTATCACGCAAAATATTTAAACCCGAAACCCTTTATTGCTTTTGGCAAGCAGGCCTGTTGGGAATACTATCTTTTACCCATTTCTTTATTTTTCCCCAAGCACTTGGATGGCTCAGAATGGGAGTTGACTTCATGTGCAGGGTTCTAAGCGCCCTCGGGCAGGAATGGAGTCATTTGGCCAAGTAGGTAGCAAGTCTGACTTTGGCTCCCTTGAGGTTAACACATCAGTTATTACTGGAGTTGAAAATGAGCAGAATGGATCTCATTGGGACTGGGATGACGAGAGAGGCGTGGGCATGGATATCCAAGCTCTTCTCTCTGAGTTTGGTGACTTTGGTGACTTCTTTGAGAATGATGCTTTACCTTTTGGAGAGGTAATTCTCCCACTTTGCACTTTTTGCTGAACATGCACAGACGTCCATGTTATTTTATGTTTTACTTATGGGTATAAATGCATGATGTTACTTATAGGATAAAGTGCATGATGTTGATTTGCGGAAAGTGCTGGAAAGGAAAAAATAATCATGTTTTTAAAGGAAAAGAAAGTCACTGGTGTTGCACTCTCATGCTACCTTTCATGTTCCTTTGTTGATTGATGTAACTGAAGGTCGAGTGGTTTGACGCTTCTTCTGTATGTTCCTGCTCTTCTCCACCTGGGCTAGAGCAAAGTTGTCTTCTGTGTTTCCTGTTTCCTTGGTCATATTGTTTGTTGAGAGATTGTGTGACATCCGGGTATTGGGGTTCATAATATTTCAGCTATCACTTATCATTTCCCTTTTCCCCCTGTTAAATCTGAGGGGCTAAACATATGTTCCATTGTCTGGTTCATGTACTTGGTGTTAGTCAATGCTTAATGTGCCACACTTCATAATGGATAGAAAAGTCCTTGAAGCCCAAGGATTCCTTTTCTCCTTCTCGCAGTCTTTTGCTGCTTTTACACTTTCGACTAAACACATAGTGGTATATCCAAAGAAATAGGACAAAATGGTTTTGGCTAATCTTGAGATTGACTTCCCTTTGCTATTCTGCCACTCTTTGTGAAGTCCTTTTCATCTAATGATGTCCATTTTCCTTTTGAAGCCCCCTGGAACTGCAGAGTCAGAGGCTCTAATGTTTTCAGCTCCAGATATTGGAGAAGTTGGTAGCAGTCCTGTAGGGTCAATGGATGTTGATCAAATGCTTTTGCCTGTGGGTCTTCCATCCTTTGAAAGCTTTAATCCGACTCCCTCGATGACCATGGATGAGTGTGTGAGCAAAAATGAAGATGTTACTCATGGTGTTATGACTATAAGCTCAACAAACTACAGTCCACCCTCTTTTACGGGCGAGTTTGATCATTTAATAAAGGCTGAAGCTCTTATGACATTTGCCCCAGAGTATGGAGCAGTTGAAACGGCAACCAGCGAGGTATCTTCTTCAGTGTTTAGAAGTCCATATTGCCCCAAGTCTCGTAGAGTAGAGAGCTCAAACTCAAATTCAAGCAATTACACATATGGTGCAACACCTCCGTTTTCTCCTTCTATCAATGGGTCAGATGAGAAGAATACCAGGCATGCTACCCCAAAAGCAGGTAATGAAAGGAGTGATGCAAAGAAATATTACACTCATGTGGAAGGTGGAAGAGAGCAACATGGTAAAAAGTCATCCAAGATTGAAGGCAACACTGTTGCCGGGGAGCGATTTGCACAATCTTCTTTATCTACTTTTAGTTCTTCAACCACTGCCAAGACCGTGCAGCTGAAGGTGAATGAAGGTGTGCTAGGATCAGACAGTTTTCTTCTTTCTAAGAAGACTGTGCTGGCAACTGAAGTTGAATGCATCTTGTTCCAAGCTTTGATGTGTAGGGTACGTCATACATTGTCGTCTAATCCAGTACCTATAAATTTGAGTAGGTCAGGTGGAGGAAATTTGAATCAGTTACATGGTGATGCAAGTGCTATGACAGACAATATCTCTAGCAGGTATGAAACGAAAAAGAAAGAAACAATACCAGTCCGAATAGCTGGTGATGTTGACCGGGGAGTGTTAGATAGCCACCTCAACGCACCTGTTGGTGTTTGGCGCACTGTAGGAGGTCCGAAAGTGACAAAACCTACCAGTGCTCCAAGTATTGAAGTCAGCCCATCCTTATCCCATCATTCGCTTAGTGAGGAAGGAATGCTCTCTTATGGGCAAAGGCATCCACTACAGGAGCTTCTTGATGGGATGGTCTTACTTATTCAACAAGCTACTTCTGCTGTTGACTTGGCTCTAGATTCAGATTGTGGTGATGGTCCTTATGGCTGGCTTGCATTACAAGAACATTGGAGGCGTGGTTTCTGCTGTGGCCCTTCTATGGTCCATGCAGGCTGTGGAGGTACCTTGGCTGCTTCGCATTCCTTGGACATTGCTGGCACAGAGTTGGTAGATCCACTAGCTGCAAATGTAAGCACTTTCTGATGGTGGCTAAACAGGCAATCTTTCCCATTTCCTTGGCATAATTGCAATACCTTTTTTTTTTTTTTTTTTTTGCAGATTCACGCGTCTTCTGTTATTAGTCTGCTGCATACTGAAATTAAAACAGCCTTAAAATCTGCATTTGGGAGTTTGGATGGACCGTTGTCAGCTGCTGATTGGTGCAAAGGTCGTAGTCTCTCCAGTGGTGGTTCAAATATATGTGATGGGCCTGTCATTGAGTCTACTCCAAGTGAATCTAGAGATTCTTCCAGCTCCATGGGAGAACCAATGAGCCCAGCTCAGTCATCCGCTGGTGGATTATCCGGTCTTAGAGGTAGTTTAAATCTTGTTCATGTGCTGTACATTTATGTTGTTCAGCATAATTCAGTACTCAACAATGGTGCTATTGATACTGGTGCCAACTGCTGTAGATGGAGCAAAGTTGGATGAGATAATGCAGAGGCGACCAAACCAAGAAAATGATAGCGATCCAAGCTCCAGGATAAGACCAATGCTTTATGTTCTTCCCTCGTCTTCCATACTCGTCGGGTGTGCACTCTAATTAAACTTTCTCTTATAAAGCAATAGTTGGAATTGAACCGGCACTCCACTAATATATTAGTACAGTACAATCTGAATACACGTTTAGACAGTTATTCAAGACTAATCTGGTTGCCTCCCTCCTAGTTTTCTTACAGGTACTAGTTTGTAAGTGGATTGCTGTAGCACTTTTACCTTTTAGGGTTCTTTCATATAAAGAAAATATGAGTTTATGAACTATAGGGTTTGTAAACTCTTATCAATTTGCTGTAAGACGATACCACGGTATGACTGATTAGGTGATAAAAAAACTTACCTGGCCTAGTTATTTTTGTGGTTGAACATTGATCAATCGATGTTTTCGTGATCAACTGTAGTGCTGATAGAACTATAGTCATATGGCACTCCTGCCTCGTATAGCATGATGAATCTCCATTTCAATTGCGTTAAAATGACATGGCCTTTAGGTAGATGCTGTATGTGCCGATATGTTACCATTGCTACCTTTGTATTACTTGAGACCACTGCTGGTGCTAAGGTAAAGAGATTTAAACATGGTAGGTACCAGGATGACTGGCTTAAAGCTTCAGCAAGCTCATTACAGCTTTGGGAAAAGGCACCTTTTGAACCATATGCTTCTCCAAAACCTGTAAGATTCTTAACATCGGCATTGTTGGATGTACTTGACAGTTGACACCCCATATGTCCAGCGTTCTTGTCTGGTTTATAATGTTCACCTCTTAAAGTGTTCCACAGGTTGCTTCACATTCTATGACCAAGCATTGATTCTGTTCATGTACTATTGCAGATTACTTATTATGTTGTCTGTCCAGACATTGATTCCCTTACATCTGCTGCTGCTGATTTTTTCCAACAACTTGGAACTGGTGAGCAGCTCTTTCCTTTTTATAGTTTCTTCCTCCTCGTGGTTCCACCTAACTTTTCCACCCCGTCCCCTGGATACTTGACTGTTAGATGTGGACTTGTTTGAGGTGTGTTGACCAAGGAAAAGAAATAGATATCTGCTCCATTTCAAGTCTTTGAGCTCCCAGTTTGAAAGAGAAAACTGTTTGATCTTTTAGTTGAAGTTTCATTTGCTCTTATATTTCTGTTTTCCCTGGTTCGAGTGAAGCGGCTTGTTAAACGAGAAGATTTTGGAGTTTCATTTCCGATCTCCAATACTTTTACGTGTGTTATCATAATGCTTGAACATTTCAGGAAGTCTTCTTATTGCGTAACTTTTGACAAATCACTATGCTTTCAAGACATTCACCTGTTATGAGCTTCTTATTGTCCAGTTTACGAAGCATGCAAGCTAGGGACACATTCAGCTCAGAATTTGGGAAACCAGATGGAAATTGACAGAGGGAAATGGTTGGCTTCTGGCTTTGTGTTGCTCAACTGCCCTCAGTCGATGAAGATTGAAAGCAGCAATGCATCTCTTGTGGGGTCGATAAGTGACTACTTCCTTTCCCTCTCCAATGGTTGGGACTTGACTAGTTATCTGAAGTCTCTTTCCAAAGCTATTAAATCTTTGAAACTTGGTCCAAGCTTACCAACACACCCAAAAGAAGGAAACAGCAGTCCTTGCTCGGTAATTGCAGCATATTATATGTTTTATGTGTTAAATTTTTGTTATCCATTTCGATGTCTTGTTTTAGCTACTCGTGACATCATTTCATAATAATTGCTGTAGTCATGTTCTTTGTTGTGTTTGCATGATATAACTCAAACCTAGCCCTTTGTTTTACTTTTTAATTTTTCATTGTGGTTAGAACTTATTCCTGCACATATTCTAATAGATTTTCTCACTGCAATTGGTTGAAAGTTCAAGCTGAAGTTATCATGCATGATGCAACTCAATTTTGTATGAGCTGTAGTCTCATGTTGGGGCTCTGTCCTTTTAGGACTCGGCCTGATAGTTTGCTTCTTTGACCGTAGCATGTTACTGTTATGTTATTTCTTAAAACTTAAATTTGTTTTTCCTATCCAGGTTATCTATGTGGTCTGTCCATTCCCAGAACCTATTGCAGTTTTACAAACTGTTGTGGAATCTTGTGTTGCTCTTGGATCAGTTGCTCTTCCATTGGATAGAGATAGGAGATCTATATTGCAGAGTCAGATAGGAAAAGCATTAAGCTGTTTGATGGCAGTTGATGAAGCATCAGCATCAAATGTTCTAGTACTCCCAGGATTCAGTATCCCCAAATTGGTATTGCAGGTGGTGACAGTTGATTCAATCTTTAAGGTCACTGGTTCGGTCCTTAGTGAACTCACCATACTTAAAGAGACCGCATTCACCGTCTATAACAAGGCACGCAGACTTTCTAAAGGATCTCCTTATGATGTACAGTCATCATCGGTATCTAGCAGGTCTCACTCAGCAATGACACCACCTGTAGTTTCAATTCCGTCAATGTGGAAAGACTGTGTCGGTCCTCGAATTGGAGGCCCTCCACTTCCTAGAGAGGCTGCTGATATTGATGCCAGCTTGAGACCTGGAGCTTGGGACAACACTTGGCAGACAACAAGGGTTGTTGGAGGATTGAACTGTGATACCAACCGAAATGGGGATTTTTTCTCACTTCAAGATGGGACTCGCTACATGCTTGAACCACTCTTCATTCTTTCAGAACCCGGTTCTCTGGAACATGCTGTTTCACCTTCCTTCCATAACACTGCAACCTCCGACTCTTCAAAAATGTTATCTGATGATGGTGGTGGGGATGCTAGTTCGGGCTCTCAAAATGATGGATCTCAGTCAGATGGGTTTGGGTCTAACTATCAGAAGGCTCTTCTTCCTAGTCTCCACTGCTGCTATGGGTGGACTGAGGATTGGCGTTGGCTAGTATGCATATGGACAGATGCAAGGGGAGAACTGCTCGACACCCAGATATTCCCTTTTGGTGGAATTAGTAGTCGACAGGATACAAAAGGTTTGCAATGCCTTTTTGCGCAAGTTCTGCAACAAGGGTGTCAATTACTGCAGGCCTGTTCTTCTCCTGATTTTACTGTGAAGCCTCGAGATTTTATCATTTCTCGAATTGGAAATTTCTTTGAGCTCGAGTACTTAGGTATGTTAATCGTCGTGCTTCTCTTTTCACGTGACTCCTGTTGCTTGTGTTGTGTTTATGGAGAAAAAAATTCTGTAGCATATTTTGTGTGGATTGATGAGTGCTAATTAACACCATAGCTTAGCTATGCATGATGTGACACACTCCTCTGCTAATTGTTGAGTTAGTTTAATGTCCATTTCTTTTTTTTTTTTTTTATCTTTAATGAAGATTAACAGTCACTATCCCACTCTTTCCATTTTGCATTCTGTTATGATGGGATTAAACAGAGTGGCAGAAGGCCATTTATTCTGTTGGGGGAGCAGAGGTGAAGAAATGGCCTGTGCAACTCCGACGTTCAATGCCTGACGGAATGCCTGGAAGCAACAATGGATCTTCCTTGCAGCAGCAACAGCAGCAGGATATGAGCTTGATTCAAGAGAGAACCTTACCTTCATCCCCCAGCCCGCTATATTCAAAGGCTTCTAGCTTCATGAAAGGTAATAATTTGGGACAATCTTCAGGGAGAAAGCAGCTTATGGGCGGAGGGCATACATCAACAGTTGATAGCTCTAGGGGGATCCTCCAGTGGGTCCAGAGCATCACTTTTGTCGCAGTCTCCATCGATCATTCTTTGCATCTTCTTTGTCAAGCAGATTCATCTTCCTCTGGTAAGCTTTTTGTCTGACCGAATGCCATGTGAGAGAGTTCACTGGCCATTTATGTTGACAAATAATGATAATATGTGATTCGTTGTAGGAGGGACAACTCAAGGTGTTAACAGTAGCAGCACACCACCAGGATCAGGATATGTAGAAGGTTTTACTCCAGTGAAGCCTCCAAGCTCTGCCTCAGCAGCTTACCTCCTAATTCCAGCACCCAGCATGCGTTTCCTCCCTTCAACCCCACTCCAGCTTCCCACATGTCTCACGGCAGAATCCCCACCATTAGCTCATCTCCTCCACAGCAAGGGCTACGCTATCCCGCTCTCGACCGGCTTCGTCGTCTCGAAAGCCGTGCCTTCCGTGAGGAAAGACATCAGGAGCAACTCGAGGGACGAGTGGCCTTCAGTCCTCTCAGTGAGCCTCATCGACTCCTACGGTGGAGATAGGGCCACAATGAAGCAAGGAGTGAGGGATAATGGGGCGGAGTCCAACGTGATTCTCGGGTCCGTTGCAGCCGAGCTTCATGCCTTGTCATGGATGACGGTCAGCCCTGCATACTTGGAGAGACGCTCTGCACTTCCGCAACATTGTGACATGGTTCTGAGACTCAGGAGACTGCTGCATTTTGCTGATAAAGAGCTGTCTTCACAACCAGATAAGCCGTAGTTGAAGACTAACAAATCCCTTACAAGCTGGCGAATCCCTTGGTATCGATCGAGAGTGGCGAAAGGTTGGTCGTGGCGGGGATTAGGGTGGTGTACCATAGTGTAATGACGTTCTTATTTTGTACATGGGTGATTTGTAGCCTGTTTGGTAAGTTAAAACACAATTTTCGTTATTGGTAAAGCAGAATTAGTGGTCATGTGATTTGGCTATGTCAATTGTAAATTAGTAGAGTAGACTGGGGATGGGGAGGGTCAGTTGCACTGTGTTGTTTAGAGTTGTAGCCCCATTGTATTATGGTTGAGTCAGTTGGCGATGATCAGGTCGGAATCGGATGCCGAGAGACCCTTTGATGGCATAACACACATGCATGTCTGTCAGCCCTTAAGACGGTAATTTTACGCCTAACGCAGAGCAAACACTTGTTCTTGCACTAGTTTTACGGCAAACGTTACTGTTAGCAGGGAAGGTTCAAGGTCCCATGACCAGACCTGGTTTCTTTTCCTAATTCTGAATCATCAATCGACTAGCGTAATAGATTGACGACCCAAGGAATCGTGCTAAATGCTTTTCTCCCACTAGCAAATGAACACCAAATGAACACAATTGCGGAGGATTGTACCACCGATAGCATCGCGACTCGCGAGTGATAGAGTTCTGAAGCTGGTGGCGATTGGCGAATGAGCATCAAGGCATCCCCATTCACTCGCCATTGCACAAAGATTGAAATGTTGAACGCGAAACAGGGTAATGAAAGCTGTGAAGATGTCTGCCAACGGAAAGCAATCAGTTGCAGTAACCCATTCCATCTCCTTCCGATACTAAGTCGGAAGTGTATGTCAAACGGTTTCGGGCTTTTGGCCCATCCAGCCCAGCCCGCTTCCTCTCCGACATAAAATTACAAAGCAATAAACGGAAAAACAAAAAGGAAAACCAATATCGAAGAAGTGTACACGACGGAGAGTAAAAAACTGGGAGTAGGATCTTCACCAAAAGGGGTGCAATTCAGATAAGCAATTGGGGAATTGGAATGGCGGACGGAGGTGGTAAAGCCGATGCACAGCTCTTCCAGCTCCTCTCCGGTCTTCTTCAGCAAGTAAGCTTTTCTATATGTTCCCTTTAACGACTGCTCGATCTTGTTCGCCGGCGGTGGTTGGCAACAAATTGCTGTTGAGTCATTACAATTCCCGCTCCTAAAGTTGCGAAGTCTACTATCATCCGGATCTCTCGGATTTCCTTAGTTCGTTTCTTATCCTATTCAGTCCAAATTCTGTAGGGTTCTTGAGGAATTGAATCGATGCAGTGCATCTGAATTGGTAGTTTGATTGATTATAACCTATGGTCAGGAGGAGAACAGAAGGGATTCCTTACTCCTTAATTGTGAATGCCTTGGTCTGAACATTCCCTTATCTTCTTTTAACCTCGAATCTGTTACTTGCTCAGCCTTTGGCTTCTTGATATCTTAATGCTGAAGTTCTCATGATCAAACTATCCCATTAGTTGATTCCTGGAAAAGGGGAAAACTTGGAACAAATGAAACAGATCACTGATTGGTAGCCTTACCCTCGATCTAAACCGATTTCATGAAGGATAACTGAGTGCATCTAGACTGAATCCTCTTTGTGGGTGGTGTAGGTTGAAGCACTCACCAATGAGGAAGAGGTGGAATTGAGATCAAAGATTGAAGCTTTGGGACTAGAGGTTACAAAAGTGCCATCAAAGTCCACCAGAACTCTTGATGAGGTAAGTTGATGTGTTTTACTCTTTCCCCTATTGCCTGTGACTTGCTTTACTTGTTTGTTCATCATAATCATGACCAGTTGGTGTAATTCATCATGATATATGCGCAGTTGGAAATAGCAAGGGAGTTGGATAAGTTATCAGAGAAGTTGGACAATGTGGATGAGATGATCTCGTCGGCAATGGCTTCCGACCCACAAGTGCTGTCGTTGTTGAGCGGCACTGCAGATGTATGGATGCCCGTCATCACAGCAAGCGCCGATGAGAGAAAGAACTTCACTGGGGGATCTTCGTCGTCACCTGCAGGAAGTGGAGAAGACCATGATCATGCTCTTAAAGAAAGTTCCAACACTCATCCCAACTCGAATTCCAATTGATTCTTCCTTCCCAATGTACAACAACTGCTTCCTTCTTGCTAATCATCTACTCATTCTGTATCAATCATTGCTTAGACGGGTCGAACTGGAATCATATACTATAATTTCGGATTGAAATTACAAGAGAGTGAACCTGATTCAGAACCTCCTCGTTTATTATGGTCAAAGTTCAGGACTCTTTTACTATTATACTATGACGCCAAAGATTTTGGCTTGGGGTTAAATGTCTTGTGGGGTGCACCCAATGCACATCCAACTAGAAAGGAGAAAGCCATGGAATGGCATGGTAGCTCCATTTCCTTAACATTAACTTTAGACATCAACAAAAAAGCAGAAACCAGAGAGCTGCAACAAAGTTGAGAAGACGGCTAATGCCTATTTCGGAGGAGGGGGAAAGGCAATGAGGTTGAACAACCATGTACCAATAGTAACTACAACCCAACAAAACCCTAAGAACACCAAAAACCCAGCTAGAATTGTGAGCAATGGAGGACCCTGCCCGCCGCCTTCCTCTTTAGCGTCCTTCGTCGTCGGTGCCGGATCGGAGTTGGAGGATGGAGACGCCCACACGACGGCGGACCCATTTCGCCACCTCTGTTGTAGTCCCATGAAGCATTTCGACCTGAACACATAATTAACTGAGAATGGTTACACACAGAGGAAGCAATTAATCAACAACAGAGAGGCACCGGTGGAAGAGGAATCGGACCTGGGAAAGATGACCGATTGGGGGGACTCGAATGTGGCAAGGAGAGGATAGACAACCTCCTTCTGCTGCTGATGGTGGCGATTCTGACTCAGCCGCCGACTAGGAATCTTGTGATGATGTGAAGGCGGAGGAAGCCGCAGTCGCGCTACAGCACAGAGCGACGCCATTTTCGGGTTTTCTTTCTCTGCTTATTTTGTTCTCCGCCTCCTTTTTGGTAGCTGCTGAACGGCAGCTTCTATTATAAAGGGGAGGCTTTAGCTTTCCATTACATCTATCCCGATAGTGGACACGTGGCGGTCACGAATAGAAATGTATTTTTATTATCGAAACGAAGAATTGGATGTTAGTTGATTGGCATTGCGCAGTGGAGGGAATGGTTATTACTTATTAGGCAATAGGCAACAAAGCAGCCACTGATTCTGGGCGTTGGCTGCAACTCCGCGGGAACCTCCGTCTTTTTTTGACAAATAATATCAACTTTTATCCCATCGTAAGAAAGATACACGCTAAAAACTATTACAATTTTAGAGTAGAACAAAAATTAGATCAAGAATATTAATCCAGTCTTCTGGTAGAATAGATTTAGCTTTTGATCGTGCAACCCAATCAGCTTTGACGTTCAAAGCCCTCGGAATCTCTTTCACCGAAATTGCTGGGTTAGTCCTAATGATATTGACCATTGTTCTAATTCAGGCTGCACATCTCCAGGGCCATCGAGACTGATTATGATTCAGGGCCTTCACCAGCATTTGACAGTCAGATTGTATTATACACACCGATCCATATTCTTGTGCTAATTTAATTCCTTCCAAAAGAGCCTTTGCTTTCGCTTCAATCGGGGTGGAACAAAGAAGATTTTCAGCTCTCCCATCACACACTTGTCCATGGTGGTTAACGACAACAACACCATATGCCGCCGACTGGGGGTCGCTACAGAACGACCCATCACAGTGAATCACTATCGAGCGATTACTTGGCGGTGGATTCGTAGTAGGATGGGATCCCCTTAGCTGAGTGGGACCATCTGAACCTTGAGGTGGGGGCCTCAGGCAAGCAATCCATTCTGTAAGCAATCCAGGGTACTCGATTCTTGAAAGTGCTCTCGTTTCTTGCCTTCCAAATGTTCCAACAAAGGTAGATAATATGAATCAGGGAGTTTTGAGGGATGGCATCTTTGAGGGAGCAAAACCAATCAAAGAAAGAGGTGCCCTGAGGAGGAATCGGAAGGGATGGGAAAGTGCTAGTCCGAGCATCACTGGCACGAGGGCAGTAAAAAAGGCAATGGTTAAGGGACTCAATAGGGTTATGACACACTTGGCAATTCGGGTTAGGAGCACATTTGCGTTGGAAGAGTCTTGCTTTCGTTGCCAACCCGTTTCTGGAACATCTCCATATAAAGAATTTAAGCTTAGGTGGGATATTCAGTCCCCAAATTCATTTCCACTTCTCTTCACTAACTGTCGAATGGAAATTTGTATTGGCTTTATGTACAACATGGTAGGCTGTCTTGACCGAGAACTCTCCCTCTCGGGTGTGACTCCAAGCCCATAAATCATCAGATCCCTCCTCTCCAATTGGGACTTTAAGAATAGCCTCCACTTCTTCTCTCGTCACATGACCTTGAAGCAGCTCTGTGTTCCAGTTCCTACTAACAGGGTCAATCCATTCCTTTACCCTCAGGTTCTGCTGGGGGCCGCTTCCGATGACAAAAGTTTGAAGGTTCGGAATCCATGGATCTTGACCAATTCAAGTATCCTCTCCTGAACCGATGACTCTAATTGCTCCCATGTTGATAACCTTTTTAGCCTCCCACAGACTCGCCCAAATCTAAGAGGATCTACTTCCTTTTTTCGATTGCAGGAATCCTCCTCTTGGGAAGTACATACCCTCCTGGAGCCGACACCACAAGGCATCAGGGGAATTAAGGATTCTCCATGCTTGTTTTGCTAACAAGGCCATTTTGAAATCTTTGAAGCTTCGGAAACCCAGTCCCCCTTCTGCTTTTGGAGCACAAAGAATTTCCTTCCTACACCCGTGCATTGTGCTTTTCTGCATTGACCCTGACCAGAAAAAGTTGATGAGGAGGGAGTCCATCTTCTTTGTCAGGCTCACCGGGAGGTTAAAAAGGTACATGATGTAGGAAGGAATAGCTTGAATGACAGCTTTGAGCAAAACTTCTTTCCCTCCATGAGAAAGGAGGAGGCTTTTCCATTCTTCACCCATCTTCTCCATTCTCTGAATAAGGAATTGGAAAGTTTCCTTCTTCGAATTCCACCATTTCGTCGGTACTCCTAAGTACTTGGTGTGGCAGTTAGAAGAGGAAAACCCGATGTGGCCAATGATCGCAGCTTTGTCCGCATCGGGTACATTCGCACTGAAGAACACAGATGATTTGTTGATATTCACTTCTTGTCCCTTAATGGCTCCATACTCTCTTATAAGGTCCAGTATTTTCTCCGCTTCTTGATGATCAACCTTTCCGAAGATCACTGTATCATCTGCAAACAGGCAGTGTGTGAGAATCAGGCATCTCGCGTTCAACCTTATTCCTTTTAACTGGTTCTGGGAAACTGCTTTATCAATCAGAAAGGTAAGAGCATTAGACATCAAAATGAAAAGGAAGGGAGAGAGTGGGTCTCCCTGTCTGATTTCCCTTGACTGTTTGAACTCCTCTGCTGCTTCACCATTGAAGAGGATGGAGAAGTTGACCGTCATGAAGCAAGAGCTTACCCATCTACACCATCTGTCATCAAACCCATAGTTCTTCAGCAGAGTTTCAAGATAGTCCTAGTCCACCAGATCATACGCCTTCTTCAAGTCCAACTTGAGCATCATGTCTCTTTTCCTTCCCCGCTTGTGGTTTTTGAAAAGATGGAGGGCCTCATGGACAATAATGACATTGTCTTGGATAAGCCGGCCTCTGGTGAAAGCTGTTTGGAGCTCCGAGATAAGATCAGCCGTCCAGATCTTCAAATGGGTTGCCATAATCTTCGATATAATTTTATGTCTAAAATTGCAGCAGCTGATAGGTCGAAACTGGCTTATCACTTTTGGGTGGTCCACTTTAGGAATCATGGCGATATGTGTATCATTCCATCCATTCGACATTGCTGCAGTCTCAAAAAACTCCTTAACCTCTCTACAAACCGATTCCCCAATAATATCCCAGAATCTTCGGTAAAACCTACCCGAGAAACCATCTGGACCTGGAGCCTTTTTTGCTCCCAATGAGAATACTGCTTTCCTAATTTCCTCTCTGGTCACTAGGGCACAAAGAGTAGCATTCATCTCATCTGTAACCTTTTCTAGGAAGCCATCCAGAAGATGGGTAAAGGGAATATGGTCTCTAGCTCTAAAGAGGTCTTTGTGGAAATCCTAGGCCTAACCTTTAAGTCTATCTTCATCCTCTATCCAATCTCCTCTCTCATCCTTGAGTCTAAGAATTCTATTCTTATGCTTTCTATGGATCATGCTGGAATGGAGAGCACTGATTCTAGAACGCCTCCTCCTCCCTCCACATCTTTGACAGTTCTTCGATGAGACTTTTTCCTTCCTCCACCCTTTCTTGGGTTCTTGGAGGACGATGGAGAATATAAACTCGATCCAGTATATCCTTTTCCCTTTGTAAACTGTTCCTATGAAAGTCTTTAGACCACTCTTTAAGATCTTGTTCACACTTGGCCAGCTGGTTCGACGATTGCCCTCCTGGGTCCCAAGCTCGGACCACTATCTCCTTGCATTCCTCCTTATCCAACCATCTTTCATCTACTCTGAAGGGTGTATTTCTCCTCCTATTCCCTCTATAACAGAGCTCAAGCCTGATTGGGCAATGATCCGACTCAACCATCTTTTCATGGAAAACAGTTGCATCCCCGAAGAGTACTCACCATGAAGTCGAGCACAACACTCGATCAAGTCGGACCCTCGTTGAATTTGCATCGATACGCTTATTGGTCCAAGTGAAGGGTTCTCCTTTAAATACCTAGATCAATAAGAGCATTGTCGAAAATGAACCTTTTAAAAGGTTCAACATTCTCGTACCTAAGAGGGCATCTCCCCTCCTTCTCACTTTCATAAATAGCAGCATTGAAGTCTCCTACAATAACCCAGTTATCCTCCCTACTACTCCGAAGAGAGCTTAGGTGCTCCCAAAATTCCCTTCTACTAACAGCGGTAGAGGGTGCATGAACAAAAGTACAAAAGAACTTCCTACCCATATCGATACTACAGTCCATATAATAGCTATCACTACTTAAAATATTAATGCTAATACCCGCTTTCACCATAGCGCAAAAACCCTAGAAGAGTTAACCGGTTCCACATATTCTTTATTGGGGAAATTTTTGAGACTTCTTCTTTGCTCCTCCATGAATGCCTCATTTTTGCTCGTTTCCATGAGGAAAACAATCGAAGGGCCTAAACGTCTACACAAACGTTTCGCATAACTTCTTGTAAGGGTTGGGTCAAAACCCCTACAATTCCAACTTACCATACTCATTCTTGAAGAGGTG